CAGTCTTATCCAAACCATCACAGATGTGCATGTAACAATCACATGTGTGTGGCATCAGATGTGTTCAGCTGCAATTACCCAGTAATTTGAATCATGAGGATTTTTACTAGATACAAAAAGGTGGACAGCCTAAGGTGGATTTGAAGTCTTCACAATATCCTTGAGGGTCTGGCTGTCTTCTAGCTTTCCCCACTGTCCCAGCTTGGATTTCACTCGCAGGGTTTTGCTCTAGAGATGCAAGAGGATTATATACAGGACACAGCATCATGGCATCTCATTCTCAGGTGCAAAGTTAAAATTACAAGTGGTGTGTAGTAACTCTCAGCTGTTTGGGAACTCTAGCCAGCGAAATGGTGCTGTCCACATTTAGGGTGGGTATTTCTACCTCAAGTAGCCTCACCTAGACAATCCCTCACACACATCCCCAGAAACTAGTGTCAATTGTGGTTCTTGATGCTTTTACATTGACAATCCATGTTCACCATCATGACCTTTATCAGAGTGTACTGTAGGCTTCCCTCCAGACATATAAGCTTTAGAAAACTCTTCCACAGGGGAAAGCATATTTGATTAACCAGAAAAAACATTTTGTGTGGGATGGCTTTGAGAAAAGAAACTAAGAAAGGAGTAAGTGAACGGTTCTCGCTTTTTCTATTTTGGTAGGAGTTCCCCACAGATGAGCACATGAGACAGAGTCAACCTCAACAGATATCATAAGGCTGCTGGTGATTCCAGAGGAGGAGCTGTTGACTGAGGATTCTGTCCTGCCTGGTCCTACAGTCGTTCAGTCCCAAAGAAACACACAGAGGTCTACATTAATTATAAACTGATTGACCTAGTAACTCATGCTTCTTATTAACTCTTTTTTACATCTTATATTAGTCTATTATTCTTGTCTGTGTTAGCCTAGTGGCTTGGTACCTTTTTCAGTGAGGCAGTCACATCTTGCTTCCTCTCTGTCTGGGTGATGGCTGCAGACTGAAACTGCCTTATTCCCAGAATTCTCATTGCTCCGCCTCTATTTCCTGTCTGGTCACCCCACCTATACTTCCTTCCTGACTACTGGCCAATCAACATTTATTTAAAATACAAGTGACAGGGTACAGGCCATTGTCCCACAGCAACAAGCCAAGATTTAAACGATGGGTACCAATCTGTAGGAGGAGGAGCAGTGGGCTGTGTCCCGCCACCCAGCTAGCTTATACCTGAAACAATCACACAGAAACTGTATTCATTCAAATACTGTCTGGTCCATTATCCCCAACCCCTTATTGGCTAACTCTCACATATTAGTTTAACCCATCTCCAGTAATATGTATTGCCACTTGACTGTGGCTTACCGGCATGAGTCTAACCAGCGTCCATCTTGGTCAAGAGAACCATGGCGTCTGCCACACTGCCCTTTTTCCCAGCATTCAGTTCTGTCTTCCCTGCCTATCTAAGTTCTGCTTCATCAAAAGGCCAAGGCAGTTTCTTTATTCAACCAATGAAAGCAACACAAATATAGAAGAACCTCCTACACCAGTGTTCCTGGGGAATGAGGGTAAGAAGCCAGGGTGTAAAAGCAAAAAGGTATGATTCAGAGGACATAGAAGCCAACCACTACCTTCCAGAACAAAAGTGGGTAGAGAGCAAGGGCCTTAGTCAGCTACATCAATGACAGAAAAGAAGGTTTGCAGGTTGTAGTGATCACTCCTGCTGAGCCCGGGTGCAAAGCTCCTGGTGGTGCTATGGAGGGGAATGACCAGGGTTACAGACAGAATGAGTCTCTGGCTTAACAAACCTATCATAACTAATGCTGGAATTCTCTATCTTTTATCCTATGTTCAGTTTGTTGGCTATTCACCATTTGTTTATTTTCTTTCTCTTTCTCTGTGTACCTGAATTTTATAATTCTGTTTTTTACTTATGTTTGCCAGTTTATTTCTGTATACAGAATTCTCAGTGGATGCTTCATTCATAGGTCATGTCAGCCTGTGATATTTTGGAAGACACAAACATTCCATCGGCAATAGCCGTCAGCCATCATTTAGAAAACCCAGGAAGAGAGTTTTTGTGTTTACACATACTTGTGTTGGCAGAATTATTTCATCCCAATGTGACTTGGTATTGTTTCTGTTTAGAAAATGGCCTTTAGTTATTCCTTTTGGGGGGTTGTTTTTGAGGTTTCGGTTTGTGCTTTTGCTGTTCTTTACAGTCTGTTTACCAGCAGCAAACTGTCTTCCCTTGTGTGTGAATGCTCTCCTCTCCCTTACATTTTTAAAGACTGTGTCCATGGATGAAAGAACACATGGAAAGGGGAGAAGATCAAATTATTATTCTTGGCCTTCCACCCATGGTTTCTAGGGAGAAATGCTGTTTTTGAATAGGTCTTCCACTGTAAGTCATTACTGTGTGCACACACACACGAATGTATTTTGCTGGAGGTCGAGAAAGGTATTTTCTTTTTCAAGATAAGGCTTCTCTGTGTAGCCCTGGTTATCCCAGAAATTGCTCTGCAGACCAGATTGGCCTTGAACTCATAGATCTGTCTGTCTCTGCACTCTGCCTCCTGAGTGCTGGGATTAAAGGCATATGCCACCACCATCTGGCCAAAGTTATCATTTTTAATCAAGCTGATGTCATGTTTTTTTTTTTCTTTTCATTTTCAGAAGCTCAGCGCTGAAGTGGTTCGACATGGAATTCTTTGGTTTTTACTCGGCTTGTTCTTGAGTCTCTATGTCTGCATCTTTGCAAATTTGATTCATTTTCAGCTACTATCCCATCAGTCCTTGGATCTGCCAAGTCTCTTCCTTTCAGACGTCAGTGAGACAAATATTAGACCTCGCAGTTCTCCGGGTCCTGAGGCTTTCCTCAATCATACAGTTTGCTTTCTTTCTCTCTGTGGTTGTTGGCTTGCACTTACTGTTCTATCTTCAAGTTCACCAGTTCTTTCTTGTGGCTTCCATTCTAATATTGTGCCAACTGTTCAACTTTTTATGTCTGTTGGATTTTTTCATGTCTTTGTATCTTTATTTAGTGAGATTTTCTATTTCCTTGCTACAGCTTTGTTTACTCACTTTTTGAAGATGCTCGCCGTTACTCATTTATATTTTTATGATACTGACCTTAACATCTTTTTTTCTGTGGTTCTAATGTCATTCTCATCTTGTTGACACCTCCAGATTTTCTTTTTCATTCAGCTAAGATTGTCTGGTAAATGATTCCCATTTGAAACTTGCATATTTTAAGGTAACTTTTATTTAAAACTATTTCAGTTGGCTTTCTTTGATGTTTGTTGTGTGAATTTTTTACTCTTCTGGCTTTTAGAGGGGCTCATCATTCAACTCCCAAATAAATCACACACAGAAACTTATTCTTAGTTATGAATGTCCAATTCCTCTGAGCTTTTATCTCTATTTCTGTATACTTATCTTCTTTCTCCGAGGCTTGCTGTGTAATTTGGTGATTGACCCTTGATGTCCTCCTCTCCTTGTTCTGTTGTTGCTCCTCAGGCTCTGGTTCTCTTTCTATTTATACTCTTTGCCTGCAAGCCCTACCTCTCCTTGCTCCTGCCTCCCTATTGGTTGTTCATCTCTTTATTAGGACCATCAGGTGTTTTAGATAGGCACAGTAACACAGCTTCACAAAGTTAAATAAATGCAGCGTAAACAAAAGTTACATACCTGAAAACAATATTCCTCCACAACCGTTCCAACAAAGGGACAGAGCTGCCTCAGTAACTGGCAGAAAATAGAAGGTTTTTTATTCTGCTTCCAGTCACATTGAGGAGGAGGAATGTGGCTCTTCATTAAGGATGGATGGTGGTGGGAATTCTGGCTTCCCACAAGGATAATGAGGGGTGTGAATGGTTTTTTTTTAATTTTTATTTTATTGGTGTTTTGCTTATATGTATGTCTGTGTGGGGTGTTGGTTCCTGGAGTTACAGACAGTTGTGATCTGCCATGTGGGTGCTGGGAATTGAACCCAGATCCTCTGGAAGACCAGTAAGTTCCCTTGACCACTGAGCCATCTCTCCAGCCCCATATCTTGGTTTTGGTTTTCACCTGTCTTCATTGACAGTGAGTAGAGATTCCTTTTCTATGGTCTAGTGAAAAGGGAAGTCCTGCTTCCTATCTAGACGTCTGTAGAAAATAGAAGCAGAAAGGTGGGGTTCTTTTTTTATAGCCTTTAAAGGGTAGAAGTCATACTTTTTCAATCTATGACCTCTCTCTCTCTCTCTCTCTCTCTCTCTCTCTCTCTCTCTCTTTTCAGTACCATTTTCAGTACCATTTAAATTAAAAAATATTAATATTAGTTCATTGAATTAAGTACACATTTAGAATGTTAGAAACAACTTTGGGCCAGCAGTTCTGACAAAAACTTCAGTCCAGCCTCTTGATGGATTGCTCTATGACCTTGGGCAGACGGCTTAGTGTCTCAGTATCCCCAGCTGAATAGTGAAGATTGCTCAATCTGTTAGGTAATCCTTTAAATTTCCCCATAGAGAACCTTACCACCCTTATGTCACATTTCTAGATTTTTTTTTTCAAGACAGGGTTTCTCTGTAGCTTTGGAGCCTGTCCTGGAATTCACTCTTGTAGATCAGGCTGGCCTCGAACTCACAGAGATCCATCTGCCTCTGCCTCCTGAGTGCTGGGATTAAAGACATGTGCCCCCACCACCTGGTTTATGATACAGTGCTTGAAATAAAATCCTCAAAATTAAATAAGACAAAAGGATGGCTGTTTCAAACATTTAATATGTTTTATAAATGCTTAACTGTGTTTCAGATACTATAGCATATGCCAGGTGAATGTTCTCTAATAATCTAGTGAAGTGTGGGCTACATCTCATTTTGTAGATGAGAAACTGGATTCAGAAGGGTAAAAAGCGGCATCCAAAAATTCTTAATTATAAAGATATTTTTAATGCCAAATCTATAGTACTCCCCAGAGCTGTTATATTATTTTCGGCCACCACTCAAGAAGCAATTTTAAATAAGATATCAAAGATCAAGGTAGCTAGAGAATACATTTATTGTCAGTTTCTCCAGTGACTTTATTTCATTTAGATTCAATTTTGATGACATAAATTATTAATGTAGAAAACAGATGCACACACTTGTCTTATTCTTATCTGTCATTCGTCAGATAAAGAAAACATCATTCCTGAGAGGTAAAGAAATAAACTGAGGATTATAAACTATCATTCACCAATTATTAAAACTTAACTTGTCATCTTTCCATAAATCATATAGAGTCTTGGGAACTAGAATTATGTTACCATTATGTGTAAACTTTACTTACCTAAGAAGAAAGGGTAAGGAGATATTTGTACAAGGACTATTGGAGTTAACCAAGAAGTGTAGGTCAGGGCATAAGCAGGAAAAATTAGAGCTCAGAGCCAAATTAAAAAGTATAAAATTAATTTAAGCCATTTAACACAAAACTGGTTCCTAAATTTCCTAATAGTTTTAGTTAATTTCCATTGCCTTACAAAATAAACTCTTGATTGATCAACAACGTATTGAAACCCGTATGTCCTTAGAATTTTTACATTTTGCTGAAAACACATTTTGTTAATTGAAATCAATTACATAAGTTTATGTATATTCAAATTAAGATAAATTAAAAAGAGTAAAATAATTTAAGCCATTTAACATATTTGGTTCTAAATCCCAGACATAGTTTTAGCTAAATTCTGTTTACTGGCTCACAAAATTAACTCTTTTTTTTTTTTTTGTAAATTTTATTAAATTATATAAGTTTCCATTTCCACCCCCCCTCCCAACACCCTCCCACTCCCCCTACTCCCCCTCCTCCTCCCTCTTCGTCCCACAGGGCAGTCAGGGTTTCCTGCCCTGTGGGAAGTTCCAGTTCCTTCCCCCTCCCTCCAGGTCCAGGAAGGTGAGTGTCCAAACAGACTGGATCCCCAAAATCCATTATATGTAGAGGAAACAGGTCCCAGTGTCATAGTCAATGGCTTTTCAGAAAGACTTCGGGTCAGCCACAGTCAGAGAATCCGGCCAAATTCGGAGAGTCTGGTTAGATCACGTCCTCTTTCAGTCCCAGTCCGACTGGCCTTGGTAAACTCTCATCAGATCCGTTCCCTTGTATCAGTGGGTGATAGCATCCCTCGCAGTACTGATTTCGTTTTTCATGTTCTTCCTCCTTCTGCTTCTCATTTGGACCTCGGGGGGCTCAGTCCGGTGCTGCAATATGGGTCACCGACTGTATCGCCGTCCTTCGTCAGATGCAGGATCTATGGTGATAAGCAAAATATACATCAGTATGGACATGGGCCACGGCCGATTCAGGCACCCACTCCTCTGTCCAGAGAGCAATCTGGGGGATCTCTCCTTGGACCTGGGATCCCATATATAATCAAGTCTCCTGTAAACCCTAAAATGGGTCCCTTAGTTGAAATATAATCTTCCCTGATCCCATATTCATCCTTCCTCCCTCCCCCCCCCATCCCAGGCCACCAAGCTTTCCCCTTTCTTCCCCTACTCCCTTCTCTCTAACCTTCTCCCCTTCCATCGACCCTCCCTCCCCTCCATGCACCCGAGGTTACCTTGATTGCTCAATAACTTATTAAAAATTTTATCTCTTATTTTTTTATAGTTTTGCTGAAAAAATATTTTCTTAGTTGGATCAATTATATGTTTGTGTAGATACATAGTACACATAGTATTTCAAGACCTGAAGGGTTTGTGATTAACGTAGTAGGGAAAGCATAGCGGCACCTGAGTCTTGAATTGTATCCTAATTTATCCTATTCTCTCTCCCCAGTCTACGAGCTTACTGAGTGATTGTCTGTGTCCACCTACACAGAAATTGGTATTCTATCGATATTCCGATAGAAATCATTCAAATTTCACATTATTATGTGTTCTCAGAATTACTATGAGAACTAGTTATAATACAGTGGTTGCAACACAATTCTCTTATGAGGAGCTGGGAAGCTGGTAATTGTCTCTATGCTCTTATTCTGAGAGCCAAGTTATGCTTTTCTAGGAAAATGATTTTCTCTTATAAAGTTACCATCGTTTTGGTACATGGAGAACTCATTCGTGGCCAAAATTTTTATTTTTTTGCTGTAAGTCTATTGTGTGGCGTATGGGCTTTGTGACAGAAAAGCAAATTTCTTCTTTATTTTTTTAATTGAAACTAAACAAAATGTTATGTGGCACAAACATACTATCCATGCCCACCACAGGGCAGATTAAAACCGTTTATTTGTGGGTGAGAAGTATGAACAGGGGTACAGTTATGGCCCCTGGCCACTCCACTGAAAACGCATAAAGCATTTCTATTGAGTTAGATGAGAACAGTGTGGAAAAACCACCAGCAACATTTAAAGATTTCTAGATTAGGAACAGAAAGACCTAAGCACCCGCCCTACTAATAGCAAGCTGTATTAATGAATCTCCGTGGTCTAAACTTTCTCATCTGAAGACTGAACCAGGTATCTCTCAGATCAAACATTCAAAGGATCAACTGTATGCAAGTAACAACAGTTCTGCACTGTATTCATTGTCTTCCGCAAAATAAGATGCTGTCTGAAGGAAGGTTTAAATACCAGGACATATTTTATTAAAACCTTAAACATTTTAAAGAAATCTTGTAGACCGGAGGAGTAATACTTGTTGTCTGAGGATGTGTGAGGTTCTGGGTTTGATCCCTAGCATGAGGAATAATGAAGTTTAAAGGACTTCAAAGAAAATGGCAATATACATGTAAAATATATAATTATCTTGTTCTAAGCAATTTTTGTACTTCAAGTAGTCAGTGCTATTTTATACATTCATTCTGTACACATTCCATGGCTAATATGGGAATAGGCAATGAGTTCAATGGGGATAGAGAAACTGACAAGAGGAATGTCCACTACTCTCCTCCCACATACAAAAGGTAACTGGTTCTTAAGGATGTACTCTTCTCGATAGTGATTATATGGAATCCTACATTAAGGTTAGCAATGGTGGACCAAATGGGCGATTTAAAACCCAGTGAAGTATGAAATAGCACTGTGATAAACGCATGTATTTAAAACAAGAATATTTTCTTTAAGCAGAATGTCTTTGTTTCCGCTCGTTGCTCTTTGTCCAACTTGAACAGACTGCTTAGTTCCATACAGTAGGTTTTTGCTTTCCCAACGACCGGTATCTCCTAACCATGCCAAGATGGCTCCACTCCCCAGAAGGAAGCTGCCACAAATGCCTGAATGTTTACTGTTCTCTTGAGAAAGAAAGATGGGGTCAAGAGAGGCCAAGACCATGAGGATGCCAAGGGGCCGAGAAGGGATTGGTGGAAAGCCCATTCTCTCTAGCTCCAGACCCAAGCCTTTGTTATTCAGACTGGTAGATTTCTCCAGCCCACCCCAAGGCTGCACACCCACTCCTCCCAACCCCCAACATGGAACTCATGGACCCCACTTTCCACCCTAACCAACCCACCCAATGGTTGACTGGCCTCCTAGGGCCATCACCATCACCCACCCCTCCACGAGTCCCCGCCCCTCCTCCCGAGAGCACCCAATGGGAGGAGCCGGGGCCGCGGTGGGCGGGGACGGAGGCGGGCCCATTGAAAGAAAGGCGGAGGGCGAAAGGAGGCGAGAGAGGAGAAGAAAGGGAAGCCCGAGGAGGGGGCGGGCGCCGTCCAATGACAAAGCCCCGGGGTGGGCGCCCGCCGTCGCCATCTTGAGCCGGGCGGCAGGACATCCAGCGCGTCCTCCGCCCCGAGGGGGAGGGGCGGCGAGGCGAGAAAAAAGTAGCGAGCGGCGCCGGGGCGG